ACACCTTCTCTCTTAGGTTTGATCTACTTAGAGTGTATTTCTACCCTAAGTCCTTTGTTAAAAAGATAGAGTGGGTCGAGGGCTTCCGTTTAATCTGAACAATCTTGGGTTTGGAGCACTTTGATTTTCGTCATCTTCTCCATTCAAGTTCTTCGCTTCAAGGTAGGGATTTCCTACTCCATCCTATAAGTTTTGTCCTAAGTTTTGGTATTTTGATATGTTGGGAGTACTTTGGTAATTTTAGGGAAAAACCCTAGTTGTATTAATAAATTAATTTGTATAATTAATTCATGGAGTTGGGAAAAGATGGTTTAATTCATGAAATTGGGGAATTCATTGATTAAATGGAGTAGTTGATTGGGATATGCGTCTATTGAACCAGTGAACTGCACGTCATTGCCTTCTGACCGTATACCCAATAAGACATGCACTTCCTCACAGGTGAGCCTCAGGTGACGGCCATGAACAGTCAACGAACACGTGTCGGGATCGAAGTTCTGTACCAACCATTGGCACATGTTGTGATCTATACGGGTACACTTTAACCCCAGGAGGCCACCGAACCCAATATCAATGACTGCCTGCTTTTGTGCTTCGTTACACCGGTTCACGATATCAAAAATTGCCTTCAATGATATGCGGACTTGCATTTTACTCTGCAATGTGCTGCAATTCCTTGTCAAAGGTGTTGAGATAGGGGATGTACTCCACGGTTTAGGGGAAGATAGGGGATGGACCTCTAAACCGGATTTTGTTTGGGAGGAGATAGGGGATGGACTCCATTAGCATCACTTTTATGTGTGCTTATTTATATTGAAGTGTTTTATTTGATACAGCACTAAAATGTGTATCAAACGGGAAGTATGAAGTATTTTGATATGAGCCTGAGTCTCATTTGTTTGTTTCATATTGGAAGTGATGTGAATATAACATTTATAGTTCACTGTTGTAAGTTTGGCCAGGTTCTGAGCCATATTGATAATAAAGAAAAGTGAAACGTGTCATAGACATTAGTGTCATGAAACTGTATAATGATGTAATTGATTATCTTGGTTAACCATCTATTGAATGCCATATCTTTATTCATTGCTTATATTTGGTTTAGTATTTTTCTACTGGGCTGTGGCTCACCCTTTATGGGAACATCATTTTCAGGTTCAGGTGATAAGCTACCTCCAAGGACTTAGCTTGGAAGGATTTAGCTTTTGGATTCTGAAGACCATCTTTAGTTATTTGTTTTTATTTGATATATAATCAAGCCTAGGGCTTTATTTGTATTTGAGTTAGAACTCATATTTTGTGTCCAAGTGTTGGCTTGGAAAAAATGTAAGCCCGTAGGGCATTTAATTTGGTATTACATGTAATGTTTTTATTTAATAATACTCTGATGAATGGGATAATGAATTGTTTTCTTTTAATATTTCATGTCAATGATGTATATATAATGGGTTTATTTTGAGGGCGTTACATTTGGGGGGTAGGGTTGCCCTGTCCTAATTTAGAAGTCAGACCTAGGATTCACTAAATCATTCAACGAGGCAATAATACAATCTTGGAAGGGAGGGTATCCTGCCCTAGTTTGGAAGCTGCTAATGCTCTATCCATGCAAAAGGAGGTAAGTTTGGTCACAAAAGGGCACATCAGTTGTTACTTTCAATATACCACTTCTTCCACAAGGGAATGATCAAACTGTACAAGTAGCATAGCCTCATGCTTGCCTTATTGACATAACATAACCCACGAATAGTGTCCGGGATACTATGCAACAAACCCGAGGATAGGTGAATGGAACCAGTCAATTTTGTTTAACACTTACCATTGGATCTCGAAGTCATCGTCATCACCATCACCCATTGGGTGATAGCTGCCCGACCAAGGGAATTCGGACGAATTTAAAGGATTCCTAGCAGAATGATCAATTTAAATTATTCTTTTCCATCACTCATTGTTTCCCGAAATGTGCCCCAATTTATTTTCAAAAGTGCGTCATCAAATTTCAACTTCTATTTTTTTCAAAATAAGGTGCCGTTTTTTTTTTAAAACAAAATTGAAGGTTTCCCTTACCTCTTTTTTTTCGAAAGTTTTGAGGAGTTCAGATTTTATTCCAAGGAATCAACCAAACGATCGACCTTTAGCGAAATATCTTGTACAGGAACCAAAATTTTATTCGAAATGATAGACTTGATCATTACTTCCTTGTCTAACATTTCTCCATAAAATTAGGTTTCCCTCAAAGTCAGCGGCCCAAAGGTATTTACCTGATGAAATGAACTATCCATAATTTCGGAATTCTATTCAAATTTTACTTTCAAAAAATTTCCAAAGAGTTTTAGATCGTATTCCAAGAAATCAATCAAACAGTCACCTTATAGTCAAATGTCTTCTAAGGAAATTCAAAATTTCACTTCACAGTGAAAGACTCGGCCATCACCTCCTCATCAAAAAATTTCCATAAAATCAAATTCCCTCTGAAGTTAAAAACCAAAGGATTTCTGTCTGATCAAAAACTTTCCATAATTTCTAAAATTCTACTCGGGTTTTCGTTCACAATTCTTTCCTCCCAAGGAGCTCTCGATCATATTCCAAGTATCTCATCAAACAATTGTCTCCTTAGTCAAATGTCTTTCTAGGGGATTTCGAATTTTATTCAAAATTGAAGATTTGGTTACCACTTCCTTATCTACCATTTTTCGTAAAAGTCGAAATTCCCCTAAAGTCAATGACTTAAAGATTCTTAATCGATCAAACACCTTCCATAATCTCCGTGGCTCTACTTAAGTTGGAAAGTTCCTTCTTTTTTTAGAAGTTATTCTTTAACAACATGTTTTCTGGGGGATTTAAATTTTAAAAAGGCAATAATTCTTTTCTTTTTCCTCTTCTTCTTTGATCACTAAGGTAAGAACCCAAATTCGAACTCAAATTCTTAAAAATTGGGAAACCACCCCCATAATTTACTACCGATTACTCAAATCATGATCAAAATATGAATCATTGCCCAAATTGAACCCCCAAATCTTGGTAACTGCATCATTGCCCCCGAACAACTCGGATTGCCACAGAATCAAATCACTGCCACATCAGACTCCCCAGACTTTGGGAATGAAATCACTGTCTTTCTCATCATTAGATTGTTGGAATCAAATCGTTTCCAAAATATCACATAAGCACATAATTTGCATTCATGCCTATTTGGGGGGTAGGGTTGCCCTGTCCTAATTTAGAAGTCAGACCTAGGATTCACTAAATCATTCAAAGAGGCAATAATACAATCCAGGAAAGGAGGGTATCCTGCCGTAGTTTGGAAGCTGCTAATTCTATCTCTATGCAGAAGGAGAGGTAAGTTTGGTCACGAAAGGGAACATCAGTTGTTACAATCAATATACCACTCCATCCACAAGGGAATGATCAAACAGTACTAGTAGCATAGCCTCATGCTTGCCTTATTGACACAACATAACCCACGAACAGTGTCCAGGATACAATGCAGTAAACCCGAGGATAGGTGAATGAAACCAGTCAATTTTGTTGACAATTACCATTGGATCTCGAAGTCATCGTCATCACCCATTGGGTGATAGTTGCCTGACCAAGGAAATTCTGGGGAATTTAAATGATTCCTACCTAAGTGATCAATCTAAACAGTTGTCTTTCCATTACTTATTGTTTCCCAAAATGTGCCCCAATTTATTTTCAAAAGTGCGTCATCAAATTTCAACTTCTATTTTTTAAAACATATTTTTTCAAAATAAAGTGCCGTTTTTTTTTTCTTTAAAATTTCAATGTTTCCCTTTCCTCTTTTTTTTTTTTTGAAAGTTTTGAGGAGTTCGGATTTTATTCCAAGGAATCAACCAAACGATCGCCCTTTAGGCAAATATCTCGTACAGGAACAAAAATTTTACTCGAAATGAGAGACTCGGTCATTACTTCCTTGTCTAACATTTCTCCATAAATTAAGTTTCCCTCAAAGTCGGCGGCCCAAAGGTTTTTACCGGATGAAAAGAACTTTCCATAATTTTGGAACTCTATTCAAATTTTATTTTCAAAAAATTTCCAATGAATTTTAGATATTATTCCAAGAAATCAACCAAACAGTCACCTTATAGTCAAATGTCTTCAAAGGAAATTCAAAATATCACTTCAAAGTAAAAGGCTCGGTCATCACCTCCTCATCAACACTTTTCCATAAAATCAAATTCCCTCTAAAGTAAAAACCTAAGGATTTCTGTCCGATCAAAAACTTTCCATAATTTCTAAAATTCTACTCGAGTTTTCTTTCACAATTCTTTCCTCCCAAGGAGCTCTCGATCTTATTCCAAGTATCTAATCAAACAATTGTCCTTAGTCAAATGTCTTTCTAGGGGATTTTGAATTTTATTCAAAATTGAAGATCTGCTAACCACTTCCTTATCTACCATTTATTGTAAAAGGCGAAATTCCCCCTAAAGCCAATGACTTAAAGATTCTTATTCGATCAAACACCTTCCATAATCTCCGAGGCTGCACTTAAGTTGGAAAGTTCCTTTTTTTTATAGAAGTTATTCAACATGTCTTCTCGGGGATTTAAATTTCAAAAAGGCAATCATTCTTTTCTTTTTCCTCTTCTTCTTTGATCACTAAGGTAAGAACCCAAATTCAAACTAAAATTTTTAAAAATTGGGAAACCACTCCCCTAATTACTACCGATTACTCAAATCATGATCAAAATATGAATCACTGCCTAAATTGAACCCCCACATCTTTGTAACTGCATCATTGCCCCCAAATAACTCGGATTGCCACAGAATCAAATCACTGCCACGTCAGACTCCCCAGACTTTGGAAATGAAATCACTGTCTTTCTCGTTGTTAGACCGCTGGAATCAAATCAAATCAAATCTTTTCCAAAATATCACATAAGCACATAATTTTCATTCATGCCTATTTGGGGTGTAGGGTTGCCCTGTCCAAATTTAGAAGTCAGACCTAGGATTCACTAAATCATTCAAAGAGGCAATAATACAATGCCGGAAAGGAGGGTATCCTGCCTTAGTTTGGAAGCTGCTAATGCTCTCTCCATGCAAAAGGAGAGGTAAGTTTGGTCAAGAAAGGGCACAACAGTTTTTACAATCAATATACCACTCCTTCCACAATGGAATGATCAAACAGTACTAGTGGCATAGCCTCCTGCTTGCCTTATTGACATAACATAACCCACGAATAGTCTCTGGGATACTATGCAACAAACCCGAGGATAGGTGAATGGAACCAGTCAATTTTGTTTAACACTTACCATTGGATCTCGAAGTCATCGTCATCACCCATTGGATGATAGTTGCCCAACCAAGGGAATTCTGACAAATTTATAGGATTCCTACCAGCGTGATCAATCTAAAATATTCTTTTCCATTACTTATTGTTTCCCGAAATGTGCCCCAAGTTATTTTCAAAAGTGCGTGATCAAATTTCAACTTCTACTTATTTGAAAATCCTTTTTCAAAATAAAGTAGCGCGTTTTTTAAAAAAAAATTTCAATGTTTCCCTTTCCTCTTTTTTGTCGAAAGTTTTGAGGGGTTCGGATTTTATTCCAAGGAATCAACCAAACAATCGCCCCTTGGCCAAATATCTTGTACAGGAACAAAAATTTTATTCGAAATGAGAGACTCGGTCATTACTTCCATGTCTAACATTTCTCCATAAAATTTTCCCTCAAAATCAGCGGCCCAAAGGTTTGTACCTGATTAAAAGATCTTCCCATAATTTCGGAACTCTATTCAAATTTTATTTTCAACAAATTTCCAAAGAATTTTAGATCTTATTCCAAGAAATCAATCAAACAGTTACCTTATAGTCAAATGTCTTCTAAGGAAATTCAAAATTTCACTTCAAAGTGAAAGACTCGGTCATCACCTCCTCATCAACACTTTTCCATAAAATCAAATTCCCTCTAAAGTCAAAAACCTAAGGATTTCTGTTCGATCAAAAACTTTCCATAATTTCTAAAATTCTACTCGGGTTTTCTTTCACAATTCTTTCCTACCAAGGAGCTCTCGATCTTATTTTAAGTATCTAATCAAACAATTATCTCCTTAGTCAAATGTCTTTCTAGGGGATTTCGAATTTTATTCAAAAGTGAAGATTTGGTCACCACTACCTTATCTACCATTTTTCGTAAAAGTCAAAATTCCCCCTAAAGTCAATGACTTAAAGATTCTTAATCAATCAAACACCTTCCATAATCTACGAGGCTCTACATAAGTTGGAAAGTTCCTTTTTTTTTTAGAAGTTGTTCCTTAACAACATGTTTTCTCGGGGACTTAAATTTTAAAAAGGCAATCATTCTTTTCTTTATCCTCTTCTTCTTTGATCACTAAGGTAAGAACCCAAATTCAAACTAAAATTCTTAAAAATTGGGAAACCACCACCCTAATTACTACCGATTACTCAAATCATGATCAAAATATGAGTCACTGCCTGAATTGCACCCCCACATCCTTGTAACGGCATCATTGCCGCCAAATAACTCGGATTGCCACAGAATAAAATCACTGCCACATCAGACTCTCCAGACTTTGGGAATGAAATCACTGTCTTTCTCGTCGTTAGATCGCTGGAATCAAATCAAATCAAATCATTTCCAAAATATCACATAAGCACATAATTTGCATTCATGCCTATTTGGGGGTAGGGTTGCCCTGTCCTAATTTAGAACTCAGACCTAGGATTCACTAAATCATTCAAAGAGGCAATAATACAATCCTGGAAAGGAGGGTATCCTACCCTAGTTTGGAAGCTGCTAATGCTCTCTCCATGCAGAAGGAGAGGTAAGTTTGGTCAAGAAAGGGCACAACAGTCGTTACAATCAATATACCAATCCTTCCACAAGGGAATGATCAAACAGTACAAGTAGCATAGCCTCCTGCTTGCCATATTGACATAACATAACCAACGGATACTGTCCGGGATATTATGCAACAAACCCGAGGATAGGTGAATGGAACTAGTCAATTTTGTTTAACACTTACCATTGGATCTTGAAGTCATCGTCATCACCCATTGGGTGATAGTTGCCCGACCAAGGGAATTCTGACGAATTTAAAAGATTCCTACCAGAGTGATCAATCTAAACACTTGTCTTTCCATTACATAATGTTTCCCGAAATGTGCCCCAATTTATTTTCAAAAGTGCGTCATCAAATTTCAACTTCTATTTTTTTAAACGTATTTTTTCAAAATAAAGTGTCGTTTTTATTTTTTCTTTAAAATTTCAATGTTTTCCTTTCCTCTTTTTTTTTTTTCGAAAGTTTAAAAGAGTTCGGATTTTATTCCAAGGAATCAACCCAACGATCGTCCTTTAGCCAAATATCTTGTACAGGAACCAAAATTTTATTCGAAATGACAGACTCGGTCATTACTTCCTTGTCTAACATTTCTCCACAAAATTAAGTTTCCCTCAAAGTCAGCGGCCCAAAGGTTTTTACCGGATGAAAAAAACTTTCCATAATTTCATAACTCTATTCAAATTTTATTTTCAAAAAATTTCCAAATAATTTTAGATCTTATTCCAAGAAATCAATCAAACAGTCACCTTATAGTCAAATGTCTTCTAAGGAAATTCAAAATTTCACTTCAAAGTGAAAGACTCGGTCATCACCTCCTCATCAACACTTTTCCATAAAATCAAATTCCCGTTGAAGTAAAAAATCTAAGGATTTCTGTCTGATCAAAAACTCTCCATAGTTTCTGAAATTCTACACGGATTTTCGTTCACAATTCTTTCCTCCCAAGGAACTCTCGATCTTATTCCAAGTATCTAATCAAACAATTGTCTCCTTAGTCAAATGTCTTTCTAGGGGATTTCGAATTTTATTCAAAAGTGAAGATTTAGCCACCACTTCCTTATCTACCATTTTTCGTAAAAGTAGAAATTCCCCCTAAAGCCAATGACTTAAAGATTCTTATTCGATCAAACACCTTCCATAATCTCCAAGGCTCTACTTATGTTGGAAAGTTCGTATTTTTTTTAGAAGTTATTCATTAACAACATGTTTTCTTGGGGATTTAAATTTTAAAAAGGCAATCATTCTTTTCTTTTTCCTCTTCTTCTTTGATCACTACGGTAAGAACCCAAATTCAAACTAAAATTCTTAAAAATTGGGAAACCACCCCCCTAATTACAACCGATTACTCAAATCATGATCAAAATATGAATCACTGCTTGAATTGAACCCCCACATCCTTGTAACTGCATCATTGCCCCCAAATAACTCGGATTGCCACAGAATCAAATCACTGCCACGTCAGACTCCCCAGACTTTGGGAATGAAATAACTATCTTTCTCGTTGTTAGATCGCTGGAATCAACTCAAATCAAATCAAATCGTTTCCAAAATATCACATAAACACATAATTTGCATTCATGCCTATTTGGGGGTAGGGTTGCCCTGTCCCAATTTAGAAGTCAGGCCCAGGATTCACTAAATCATTTAAAAAGGCAATAATACAATCCTGGAAAGGAGGGTATCCTGCCCTAGTTTGGAAGCTACTAATGCTCTCTCCATGCAGAAGGAGAGGTAAGTTTGGTCAAGAAAGGGCGTAACAGTCGTTACAATCAATATACCACTCCTTCCACAAGGGAATGATCAAACAGTACTAGTAGCATAGCCTCCTGCTTGCCTTATTGACATAACGTAACCCACGGATAGTGTCCGGGATACTATGCAACAAACCCGAGGATAGGTGAATGCAACCAGTCAGTTTCGTTAAACAATTACCATTGGATCCCGAAGTCATCGTAATCACCCAGTGGGTGATACTTGCCCGACCAACGGAATTCTGACGAATTTAAAAGAATCTTGCCAAAGTGATCAGTCTAAATACTTGTCTTTCCATTACATATTGTATCCCGAAATGTGCCCCAATTTATTTTCAAAAGTGCGTCTTCAAATTTCAACTTCTATTCTTTTAAACATATTTTTTCAAAATAAAGTGCCGTTTTTATTTTTTCTTTAAAATTTCAATGTTTTCCTTTCCGCTTTTTTTTTCGAAAGTTTAAAAGAGTTCAGATTTTATTCCAAGGAATCAACCAAACGATCGTCCTTTAGCCAAATATCTTGTACAGGAACCAAAATTTTATTCGAAATGAGAGAGTCGGTCTTTACTTACTTGTCTAAAATTTCTCCGCAAAATTAAGTTTCCCTCAAAGTCAGCGGCCCAAAGGTTTTTACCGGATGAAAAAAACTTTCCATAATTTAATAACTCTATTCAAATTTTATTTTCAAATAATTTCCAAAGAATTTAAGATCTTATTCCAAGAAATCAATCAAACAGTCACCTTATAGTCAAATGTCTTCTAAGGAAATTCAAAATTTCACTTCAAAGTGAAAGACTCGGTCATCACCTCCTCATCAACACTTTTCCATAAAATCAAATTCCCTCTAAAGTCAAAAACCTAAGGATTTCTGTCTGATCAAAAACTTTCCATAATTTCTAAAATTCGACAAGGGTTTTCGTTCACAATTCTTTCCTCCCAAGGAGCTCTCGATCTTATTCCAAGTATCTAATCAAACAATTGTCTTTTTAGTCAAATGTCTTTCTAGGCGATATCGAATTTTATTCAAAATTGAAGATTTGGCCACCACTTCCTTATCTACCATTTTTCGTAAAACTCGAAATTCCCCCTAAAGCTAATGACTTAAAGATTCTTATTCGATCAAACACCTTCCATAATCTCCGAGGCTCTACTTAAGTTGGAAAGTACCTTTTTTTTTAGAAGCTATTCATTAACAACATGTTTTCTCGGGGATTTAAATTTTAAAAAGGCAGTCATTCTTTTCTTTTTCCTCTTCTTCTTTGATCACTAAGGTAAGAACTCAAATTCAAACTAAAATTCTTAAAAATTGGGAAACCACCCCCCTAATTACTACCGATTACTGAAATCATGATCAAAATATGAATCACTGCCTAAATTGAACCCCCACATCCTTGTAACTGCTTCATTGCCCCCAATTAACTCGGATTGCTACAGAATCAAATCACTACCACGTCAGACTCCCCAGACTTTGGGAATGAAATCACTGTTTTTCTCGTTGT